AAAATATTATTATTATTATATGTATATATTACAGTGATCTAATAAAACTAATGAGTTTTTGTTTGTTTGTTTGTTTAAATGCAATACGAACTCTGGAACTATCGATCAGGTTTGAGAAATTCTTTGCATTGATTGAAGTATTCATTGAGGCTTTTCTAAATTAATATTTAATTAATATCTCCAATTATTGGTTATGTAGGTACCTACCATCCCGCGATTACTCTAAGGAGTTGAACAGTGACCCAAAAAGGTGAAACTTAGGGATCGGCTGGTATTTGTATCATATTACTAATTATTACACATATTATTAGCCTGCGGGTCCGTTTGCAATTACTTTTTTCTAGATTGATGAGGTACCCTTTGTATTGCTGTCGTGCGTGAAAAATTTCACCATGATCGTTACATGAAAGCGTAACCAACAAATTCACTTTCGCAATTATTGTCTTTAATTAGAATTTATCGAGCACTTCACGCTTACTTACGTGTACGATTTTGTTATAAAAAAGTCTTTCGAATATCCGCAGTAGGAAATATATAGACTCTGAATTTACATATATAAAAGAAATCAAATTAATTAGATCAACAACAATACAGCTTAAAAATTATAAAAGAAATTACCTTTAAAATATTCTAATAACATTTTGTTTTCTTCCGGTTTGACATCTTGAATTTTGAAAGGAAACTTGTTATCCGGTTTCATATTAACTTGTTAATTAACACTTTTGCATAAGATTTTTTTATTTTGATTCGAACTTATTCAATATTTCAGACACAAATAGCTGCTTCGTGGCAGATTGCACTTTGATAGCCTTAGCGTGCTTACCACTATATATATGTAACGGCGAATTCGCAAATGTAACTTAAAGCGAAGCTACTTTGTGAATTCAATCGTCTACTGTCTGGCTAGTTATTGAAACTACGTCATATAGTATAAAGGTAATGTTAAAAAAATTATTTTATTAATAATAGGCATAGAAAATTGAATATCATTTTTTTTGTTTATTATGCACATAATTTCAACCACACATAGCTTGCGTAGATATAAAAATGTTTCTCTGATGTTAGGTTTGATTAAGACTGTCGATCTGTGTCTTTCGGATAAGGTTTTAACAGTAATGAACGTTCCACGAAATATTACTTTTCTAACATTATGTCACACAAGTATTAGTATGCAGTACGACAGCTTTTTAGCTACCTATAGCTTGTCAGCTATCACGAAGTTCAGCCTTTTGCTTTCAATATAAACGAGTAGGTTCTAATGTATGCTTACAATATGCTTTCCAAGACCAAAACGCACACAATAATCCGACAAGTTAAAACCTTGCCCGTTTTCAAAAAGCTAGTGAAGAATTACGGTTGGTTTCATTATAGTACATATATAGCATATATTGTGGACTGTATGTATTTAGGTGTATGTTTTGTATATATATATATATATTAAGTTTAAGTCAATATATTTATGAAAATTTTTGTTCATAAAAACAAAGATGGCTCTTTGAAAAAAAATGATAGCCTCTAGGCTCCAAAGGATAAACAAGTCTTTTCGAGGTCAATGTGTCCGATTTTATAATAAAATCGCAAATAATATTCAAGAGTTAAGTATTAACAACTTTAAATCCGCAATAAAGCGTGGCTTGTGCCAGAGGGCCTACTACTCAATTGTGTGTTACATAGAAGACAAGAATTCTTGGGTTTAATTGCCTTAAGTAAAAACGTAGTGTGGCTAGTGTGTGTTTTTATTATTATTTCTATTTTTTATGTTCCACTTCATTTTCTCTTTTATTTCGTTTTTTTTCTTAATCTTGTTTTCTCTTCATTGTCTTTTTACCTTTTAGTCCTTAATAATGGACATATTGGCACACATCAAAAACGATGTTGTGGTATATTTAATAGTGCCATTGTACGGTAGGGGTTGAGCCTTCTCATAAGGCTCAACCCCTTGGAAACCGGCGGTTTAAGATCGGCACAGGCATATCATAGATTTTGTAAGGTTTTGATTTTGTTAAATTTATTTGCTTACTATTTGACAAAACAGAGATTGTTGCTTTTGTATGTGTTGATCTATGACTTTAGAGTCTACATAAAAGACGATTTACAAAAAAAAAAAAAAATGAAATGAAGAGAGTTTGAGTTTATGTATGTATGTGTGTATGTGTAATGTGAACAGATGTTAATTTGTGTAATGAATGCCTTTGTTTATATTTTTAAATATTCACGTGATAAGGCCTTTACGCGTATGTAAGCTACCCAACTTTTTAAATATCTAATATCCGTATTAAGGTTATCTATCTTATTTATAGGTGTCTATATATTTGTTAGTATCTTATGTGATAACTGTAAACAATTAAGATATAAATAAAAATGTTATCGTAGAAATATGAATGATAATGTTTTACCTTAATCTAACAAAAACTACTGACAAACAAAACACTCATGCTATATCCAGCTAACCAGAATAATTGAATAAACACACGCGAAGAAGTAGCAACTGGTACATTGTAAAACCACGTTTCAGTGCGTACTACAATATCTGCTACTTGCTCTGCAACATAATTAAGTACAGCAATCTGTGTCACCGGCAATTAGTATATGCTTAGACAGAAACGTTATTTCTCTGGGAGTGTTATCTATACTCTATATTCTCTCTCTCAAAAAATGATAAAGATATCCTAATAAACAGACAAAACCATGCTGTCATTTGTATAAATAAAACATAATAATATGCGTATTAAATTGTTTGACAAAAGTAATAAATTAACATGAATTTACTTAGTTCCCATATGCTAAACAAAGTCTTTCGAGTAATTAAAAAAATATTTAAGTTTATAACGTTATTGTCTAAATCATTTTACTTATTATTAACAAAGTTCACATGTGACTCAATAATTTTGTTAAAATACGTGAACTTATTCTTTGTTAAGTACAGTCCAACGACTACAATCACTGTTTAAGCTCAAGAAGCATTTGTTTGCAATATTAATTGTGGAAGAAATGTTTACTGTGTTTCTACTTACCATACCTAACTTAATTGAACTATTGTTAATATCAATAAAACAGAACGTACTTAGATACATATGAAATATCTTACTATTATTGCAGAAAATATATATTGCTGTGAGGATTAATATGTCTTCTACCATAGTTTAAAAACTTTCCCCACAGAACGAGTTTTATTATTTTAATTACATACATACCGAGTATGTGAGGCTACAGGTGACTCAAGCTTTTATCGTTAGTTGCGGGTGCCCATGGGGCGACATTCACCTGATAGTAAATCAGGTGCCATGTATGCTAGTTTGCCCTCTGTATAAAAAAAAAACCTATGTAAAAAACCTCAAAGGAAATATTAGCAAAAATCGGAGGATAGCATGCTTGAACTGCATTGTATTGAAAGCTTTTTGTGGTTGACTGTATATTCTTTCAGTATATTTAGTTAGTAATTCATTCTTGTGGCGGTCAACGCTTCTGCAGAAGCTAGTTCCCAAGGAAGTTAAAGAAAAATATTGGAATTATGTATGCAAAATAATTTTTAATGTAGGTAAATTTACATACTCAGTTATCCGGCGTGTAGTGAAATTTTTATTTCTATGCTCTATTTTTTAGTAATAGTTCTTACTAAACTAGTGTTAACTAAAACTAGTGTTTTATAGAATATTGAGCTGGAAAATTTTCTTAATTCTAGTAAATCAATCAAAATCAACTAGGTTGCCAGTGAGCCAACCAGTCTAAAATTTGTTCAGCTCCATCCAGCCGTAGTCCACAAGCCTAGGTTCTAGTTTTAGGCAAGGTTCAAGTTCACTCTAACAACTAAAATCACAGTGTTTTGTTGCCACGGGGTGGAAAATCCCTTGGGACCTCCGGCTCTTTGGGGACGCAGGAGCCAGGAGTATGTAGAGTTTTCACTAAAAAGACGCAATTCAACAGCCAGTCGATCGCTCTGCCCATTGTTTCTCCACGACAACGCGTGAGCTCACACTTCACGACAGACCATCCCAATTACAAGAGATACAGCTGAAAACTCTCTGTCACTTACAGTACTCACCGGACTACGCCCTAACAGTATTACAGTACTGTACTTGTATTGCACTTTTTAAAAAAAATCTGTCAATTTTTAAGTGGAAAAATATTCAACACCCTATGCAAGACGCCTTCGCTGATTTCATCACCTCCCGCAGACTTCTTCAGTAAAATAATAAACAACAGGTAAAATTGCAAAGATAATTTGGGTCAGTTCTTAATGACTTAATTTGAATGTATATCTTTCATACAAAACTAAGTAACCAATTTACACACAATATGTGTTTTTTTTTTAAAACTTCGTTTTAAAGCCACGTAGTTAGTTCCTTTACCGTAATTTTGCGATTCTCAAAATTCACTTGAATACGAATAATCGATAAAATGTATAAAAAATCGATATTATTAATAACGAGTCATTTTCAATCAACGAAAACGCATAATTAAAATTATAAGTATGTATGTTGATGTAATTTTCAATAAATCTTTGTAGGCAAAAATCGCTCATGTCTAAGATTTACTCGTAAAACCTATGATATGCCATTACACGGGCTTTTATAGTAACTTACAAAAATCTGTAAAATTGTAATCGATTAGTAGATACTAAGAGATTATATCAAGAGAACTTAATAATCGGATATTCTAGTATTCGATCTCTTTGACCCCATCGCTACACTTCAATCTGTCAGAATTGTCAAACGGTACCTCTTAGATTAGATGGACTATACCACTAATCAAGCAACTCAGCAAGCATTTAACTAACAACTGTTCTCCTTAAAGTTTAGAGTTCAAAACACATTGTGGAATAAGAAATAATGGGCTAGATGTAATCAAGTCCGATGTAGACAATAAAAACAATATGTACCGATATGTAATTTATTCGCGTTTTATCAAAAAAAAAATTGAACATGCATAAAGTATTATAAAGTTAGATGACTCAAATTAGATTAGATTTATTATTTATTTATTAGATTTATTTGAACAAATTAATTGTTCATGTGGGGGTAGCGGAGATCCGTATTTCGCAGGTTGTCGGCGATCCATTGTTCCGCTTGCTGTGTCATCTCCTCATCGAAGTAGTCGCGCCAACCGCCTGTCTTTCCTGAGATCATCATAAAAATAAAATAAAATTTAAAAAAGTAATAAAAACGGCGTGAGAGGTCTATAGACCCCCGGTCGGAACGAAGTTATTACTATACGGAACTGTAGTACTATACGGAATGGAACTTATTACTATGGACCCATGGGCGTACATACACTATACAGCAAATAAACCGAGCCACCTGCTACCTAGGCACTCTAATTCGATTTTCTCAAAAACTAAAAAACCTACAATTAACAAAGTTGTACTTACAGAAAGTGCGTTTCATGGTGATTAAAATGAAAGGAAACTCATTGGGTTTAATCAATATTTCAGTGTTTATTAAGGATTTTACAAAGAAGAGTCGTTTTCCAGTCGTGACAATCGTTAGTAATGATAAAGTGAAAAAAAAAATTAAAGCCAAAAACAAAGATAAAATCAAAAAAAAAGTTTTTGATCAATATTCCGTATTCCCTCCCCTTGCTCGGATAACTGCCAGCATCCTTGTATTCATCGACCTTACGAGCCTGACGATACAATCTTGAGGAATTGTATTCCACTCCTCTTCAATTGCGATTCGCAGCCCTGGAAGCCTTGTTGGAGCAGGTACCCGGCCTCGAACCCGACGTTTCAGCTCATCCCATAAGTGTTCTATCGGATTCAAGTCCGGGCTTCGAGCTGGCCAGTCCATCGTACGAATGCTGACGTCGCGTAGATACTGGGTCACCACATGAGCAACATGAGGCCGTGCATTATCATGCATCAATTGCATATCCTGTCCGATATATCCTGCGTAAGGTACCACATGGTCTGCGAGGATTTCAGTAATGTAGCGATGAGAAGTCAGTCCACGTCCCGTCGGTTCGATGAAAACTAACGCTGTATGTGCTGTTAACGAGATGACGCCCCAGACCATTACAGATCCTCCTCCATAAGCAACAGTTTCCTCGATGCAACACTGAGAATAACGTTATCCAGGGCGACGATATACTCTCTGACGTCGATCACTTCCATGTAGACTCACCCTGGTCTCATCAGTGAAGAGTACATTACTCCACTGCTCTAATGGTCCAATCCCTATGCTCTCGAGCAAATTAAAGTCGTGCTCGACGGTGTGCTACCGTTAATGCTAGGCATGTTGCAGCTCTTTTTGGGGTCAGGTTCCGTTCAGCAAGTCTCCTTCTGACGGTATCTGAACTTATGACCACTTGGCGTTCGTCACGCAGACTTTGTTGGACTTGAACTGCGTTGAGGTGGCGATTTCGCAGAACAGTAAGGTGGATATAACGATCATCTGCTGCTGATGTAGCCCTAGGTCTGCCCGTACCTGGACGGATCGAATGCTCCAGTCTCTAGGTATCGTCTGTAAAACTCGTTGCACCGAAGATCTGCTGATTCGAAGCCCTCGAGCGACTTCACGTTGCGCAATGCCTGCTTGAAGTAATGCTACAGCTTGAGCTGCTTCCTGAGGTGTTGTATCCATTATTAATCGAAAAAAGTAGCAAAAACACACGCGTCTGAGCAAACGATGGACAAAAACTAAAGAAATGATAAGAAATATCCGACTACCCTCATTGTAGAGAAAAAGAACGCTAATTTCAAACTCTGGTGAAAACAGAGCAAATCGTTAGCATTGTGTTTGTTGCTTGATTACAATGTGAGTTGACGGTACTTTCGAATTAATTTTTAGTCATTTTAATCACCATGAAACGCACTTTTTGTAGGTATAACTTTGATAGTTGTAAGTTTTATACTTTTTGAGAAAATCGAATCAGAGTTCCTAGGTAGCGGGTGGCTCGGTTTATTTGCTGACCAGTGTAGTAATAAGAAATAAGAAGTATAGTCTTATCAAGATAAGTAACCATAGTAATAAGAAATAAGAAGCATAGTCTTATCAAGATAAGTAACCATAGTAATAAGAAATAAGAAGCATAGTCTTATCAAGATAAGTAACCATAGTAATAAGAAATAAGAAGCATAGTCTTATCAAGATAAGTAACCATAGTAATAAGAAATAAGATGTATAGTCTTATCAAGATAAGTAACCATAGTAATAAGAAATAAGAAGCATAGTCTTATCAAGATAAGTAACCATAGTAATAAGAAATAAGAAGCATAGTCTTATCAAGATAAGTAACCATAGTAATAAGAAATAAGAAGCATAGTCTTATCAAGATAAGTAACCATAGTAATAAAAAATAAGAAGCATAGTCTTATCAAGATAAGTAACCATAGTAATAAGAAATAAGAAGCATAGTCTTATCAAGATAAGTAACCATAGTAATAAGAAATAAGAAGCATAGTCTTATCAAGATAAGTAACCATAGTAATAAGAAATAAGAAGCATAGTCTTATCAAGATAAGTAACCATAGTAATAAGAAATAAGAAGCATAGTCTTATCAAGATAAGTAACCATAGTAATAAGAAATAAGAAGCATAGTCTTATCAAGATAAGTAACCATAGTAATAAGAAATAAGAAGCATAGTCTTATCAAGATAAGTAACCATAGTAATAAGAAATAAGAAGCATAGTCTTATCAAGATAAGTAACCATAGTAATAAGAAATAAGAAGCATAGTCTTATCAAGATAAGTAACCATAGTAATAAGAAATAAGAAGCATAGTCTTATCAAGATAAGTAACCATAGTAATAAGAAATAAGAAGCATAGTCTTATCAAGATAAGTAACCATAGTAATAAGAAATAAGAAGCATAGTCTTATCAAGATAAGTAACCATAGTAATAAGAAATAAGAAGCATAGTCTTATCAAGATAAGTAACCATAGTGAAACGCTCAGAAGGATGGGGTTCTTGATGTAAACACAAACTTTGAAATAGTATTTTATTTGACTTTTCAAAACACTCTCGCTGCACAGCTGTACCCGACGGGTTCACAATTCAAAAAAAAAATGGCGGGTTCACAATTCAAAAAAATGGCGGGCCGAGACAGTGTTGCAACATTCGGAAAACAATCGATCCATGAGTCGACTTAAAATTATGATTATGAATAACTTGGGTTTTTAGGAATATTACTATTAGATTAAATTAGTGTTTAAAGTGAATAATATTATTAATTAGTGATGAGTATAAATATGGTAAGCGATAAAATTAATGACTGTTACAGTCGGCCATCCGTCACATAAACGAGTCCCTTCGTTTAGAGTTCAACAACAAACAAACAATCAACAACATTAAAACTGATCATCTAACTTTTAACCTTGTTTATTATTTTTTTATCTGATTTTTAATTTAAGAGAAAAAATAAGTATAATCTTACTACAACTCTACTGTTATGCTTAGATATAGCTAGACAAAAGGGGGTTACTTCACGTCTTTCACCATCAATTTGCCTTGGCTGCGTGTTATATCATATCACTCATGCGTGGTTAGATTCTGCTTGAACTCTGTGCTATGACCCTCAAGGACATATCACTCATGTCCAGCTCGCATCCAACCAAGCTCTGTGCTATGAAACACCCTCACTGAGCACATAATCATTCATCGAATCTGCCAAATCTGCCAAAGCTCTCAAATAGGGTAAGTAGTTATCCTTTCAAAATGCACTCATGCTCGGTTTGATTTAACTAACCGAAGCTCTGTGCAGGGTGTAATATTCAGTATAGTTCTCGGTAGACGGAAAGGATTCTCTTAATAAAGTCTTCCACTCTTCCCACGAATGCCTAATAGATGGCAAGCCCTGGTACCAGGTCTTAGCATATCCTACTAGTTTGGGCAGGGCATAGTGAACCGTTTGCCGGTCATTCCAATTATAAATTTCCGCGCATTCGTCTACTTTACTTATCCACATGTCAATAGTCTGTTCCCGAGAAAGCGGGTCAAAATCCGAAAGAACATTATGTAGTACAGGAAACGATTCACGATCCCTACCCTTAAAAAATGTTGACAAATTCTTCAAAGAAATTAGCTGGTTCCATGACCCTTGGCCGTTGGGATTCTTGGTTACAAATGTCGTTTCCGAGAGGGCTGCTATTCTTTCTAGACGGGGAGTCACGCCGTAGATGGTTATCAGTGACATCGTGTGAAATCACGTTGCGGCTACGTTGTCTCATTAGCTCTTGCTCTAACAGACGTAGCCTCTCGCGCAACTCATCATTCTCGTCGTTCCTTTTACGACTATGACTACGGCTATGGCGGCTACTCTTAGGTCTACTGCGACTGCGACTTGCGTTGTTGATATCCACCACATATTTCCCGTCTACGACTCGGTCTATTCTCAAGTAAATTCAGGTTCTGATATAATAGCTCACGGTTACTGTGGTGGCTGCGTTGGATGCTCCGGATGCGGTGACGGCTCCGACTTCGGCTTTGATCCTGGCTCCGACGTTCGTGTCTCACGCGGCTCCGACTTCGTCGCATACCACCGCTGTTCCCTGCATCACGTTCGACTTCCATTGTTGGTAGTATGAGGCTTCCAGGTGGTACGGGTGTTCGAAGTCTACGACTTCGACACCGTTTATCATCAGGGCTACCGCGTTCCATTATCTTATGTGTTGACCTGTGGGCGTAGCAAAGACAATATATTTTTGCTGTTATCCCACTTCTGAGCTGAAACGCTCAGAAGGATGGGGTTCTTGATGTAAACACAAACTTTGAAATAGTATTTTATTTGACTTTTCAAAACACTCTCGCTGCACAGCTGTACCCGACGGGTTCACAATTCAAAAAAAAAAATGGCGGGTTCACAATTCAAAAAAATGGCGGGCCGAGACAGTGTTGCAACATTCGGAAAACAATCGATTCATGAGTCGACTTAAAATTATGATTATGAATAACTTGGGTTTTTAGGAATATTACTATTAGATTAAATTAGTGTTTAAAGTGAATAATATTATTAATTAGTGATGAGTATAAATATGGTAAGCGATAAAATTAATGACTGTTACAATAGTAATAAGAAATAAGAAGCATAGTCTTATCAAGATAAGTAACCATAGTAATAAGAAATAAGAAGCATAGTCTTATCAAGATAAGTAACCATAGTAATAAGAAATAAGAAGCATAGTCTTATCAAGATAAGTAACCATAGTAATAAGAAATAAGAAGCATAGCCTTATCAAGATAAGTAACCATAGTAATAAGAAATAAGAAGCATAGTCTTATCAAGATAAGTAACCATAGTAATAAGAAATAAGAAGCATAGTCTTATCAAGATAAGTAACCATAGTAATAAGAAATAAGAAGTATAGTCTTATCAAGGTAAGTAACCATAGTAATAAGAAATAAGAATTACAATACAAACTAAGCAACGGATTAATGCGGTTTTCACGAATAGAGAGAGTGATTCAAGAGGAAGGTTTAAATGTATAATACATGCATATTGTAGTAGAGAAAATCCGAGAATTTTAAAGATTTGTCATAAAAAACATGTTTTCGTGCGCTTACATTGCAAACGTTGGCTAATCCTTACGAGATAAACCAAAAATTATTTTGGTCCTATCTTACATTAGTACTACGGAATTGTGTATCTTAAAAAAGATCTATAATAAATAATTCTATAAAAAAAATAAACGACTTCAAACAAAATATCCCTACCTAAAAACACTAAAAAGCGAAAATAAAACTAAAGTATGTATATTACTAGAAAATGTGAGACTTCTTTATCATTATTTTTAATTCAATCAAAAACTACCTAGTAACTATAACTTACCTATTCTCAATAAAATCCATACTATTATTATAAATGCGGAAGTGTGTCTGTCTGTCTGTTACCTCTTCACGCTTAAACCGCTGAACCGATATAAAATAAATGAATTTGGTATGGAGATAGTTTGAGTCCCGGGAAAGGACATAGGATAGTTTTTATCACAAATATCATCCTTTAAGGGGGGGAAAAGGGAGGTGGAAGTTTGTATGGGGAATCAATAAACGCTGAACCGATTTGGATGAAATTTTGTATGGAGATAGTTTGAGTTATTGGGAACGACTTAGGCTACTTTACCGCCGTAACCGACATAAATAAAAAAATAAACAAAATTATTTCACTTAGCAACCAAGCTTATTTATTACAAATTTATAATGATTTATTTACAAAATTACTATGTCACAATTTTTGTCTAAACCTAATTAATACCTATTCATTTATTAATTAAACCTATTAATTTAAATAAAATAATATTAAAATGTGTGCTACGTACCTAAAATCTGTTTGAGGTCGATGCCAACACACATTTTTATGTTACATATTAGCTACGAGTATATTACCTAAACCTATCCTAATTATTTTGAGATCACTATGGTCGATTCACACATGTTTCATAACGCATTATGGTTAGCTTTTTTTTTAATTGTTTATTTTTCAGTATTTAGTGTAAATAATAATAGTAGGTTCAACTACTTCATATAAGTCGCTAAGAGGTAGCAACCTACGGAAAACGTCCACCTTCAAATGTTATTCCTGCTAATGCGAATAACTGTGGTGATTTGATGCACGTATTGAAACTGGTTAGGCTCCAGAGTTACGTTGAGGCGCAACATTTCTGTTGATAAAGGCCTAGGCCAAGTATCTTGTCCAAGTTTAAATGGCCTGTTTAGTTCCCTGTTAAACCTATCAAGCAACTAAAAGCTACGGGGATGTTAACCGGAGAATGCTACTGTTATCCTCAGTTGGGCAGTTACAGTACATAAACTACAGGGCATTACCCTAAAATTCCCAAAGGCAATGTTTATGTTGCGTTAAAATGCATAAGATGGCATAATGATGGTGTTTGCATTTTGCGACTTAGAGCCACACAAAGCCAAAAAAGCAATTGTAAAAAAATATTTAAATTAGAACGCTAAGACAAGCTGGGTACGTAGTGAAGGTTGCTAATACAACCCTCAGTTTTGCATGTCTTTTCTTTCCTATAAATTACAATACATTGAACCAATACATTCAACATTGTGGGAGACTAGTGCCTGTTGTAGGTTTGTGCTAATGCACAACCTGTTATAAGGGTCACCAGGCCCCTCCCGCATGTAGTTTGATTACTGAAGCAAAAGACGTTAGGATAAAATCAAAGAATTAATACAAAAAGTATTTAACTAAAGTTAAAGTTTAGGAGAAACCAGAAGCTTTGAGAGTGTTTGTGTGGATAATGTGTGCAGTGGTAGTGTATGATAAGGTGTGTAGCGGGAGAGTACTGTGCTAATTTATAAGATGTGTTAGTTTGAGTTTTGCAGGTACGAGTATATGCTGCGAGAATTTAAAAGGAAGAAATGTAGTCAGGCTGCGGCGCGAGCTGATATAATTTGGTTTTATTTCCTCAGTCTGCGCTATTAGACCGGATAACTACCACTAAGTAGGTGAATTTAACAGTTGTTCAGTTGCCTTATAGTCTAGGGTTTTCAGATACAAACTTACTACAGCTTTACATTTCGTTATATCTCATTATATCTCTTGTCAGAAGGTATATATTTAATATTTTGTTAAACTTATTATAGGGATGTGGGCCGGCAAAACAAAAGAAGTTCCGTGAGGCAACAGTGCGCTATCTCCTTTTAATTACAGGTTACTAGGTCGGCTTCTTAAAGTATCATCTAATTCCTAACCTCATCTAAAAACTTAAAAGAATACAACTAAAAGTCTAAACATATGTATGTTTAGACTTTTAGGTGTATTCTTTTAAGAAAGATGGAAGTTTTAGTTGTATTCTTTTAAGAAGATGGTATTTAGAGAACTATCCTCCAACTCCTAACTGTTAAATAGTTTTACCTTCCATCACCAGCTCATCAACACGAGATAGTGACTAACAGACGCAAATTTTAGTATAGCTTCAGAAAATATATGAAACATATAAAACGTGCCTATAACATTTGAGGGTTGTCTTGGATTTCCATGGGATCATCAGATTGTGACTTCGTGACAATGGGACCCCCTAAGTACTGTTTTTTTTTTTATGTATAAGGTATACATATAAACCTTCCTCTTGAATCACTCTTTCTATTGGTGCAAACCGCCTTAAGATCGGTTGCGTCTTGCGTTGCGTTGGTCTAAGCGTACTATAGTAACAAGTGTCGGAAAAAAGTCTTGTTACACATTTTTCGGTCTCGCTCCCATCCGCTCGGAGGGAGTTCGTTCTAATAACTTTTGCACACATGATTAAATTTAAATTTTTATTTTAAAAATTACGACGTACCTTTTCTGACAAAACTTTCGGTAGGTGCAAGTAGTCCAATTTCTCTCATGTCTTCGAAATTAACTGACTTGTTGTTTTTAAAATTGTCAAAACTTAGATGTTCATAAAGGCGCACTGATTCCTCTTGAGTTATTTTTTTACCTAGAAAATCAGCAACCCGACTTATAGAAGCATTTAAGTCCTGAAAATAATTATTAACTCCTTGTTAGTACTTTTAAGTCGATATCTACGTTAACAAACTACGCAGTTACTACTGATCCTACATCTTGTAGTGAATTCAACATGTTGGATTATACACATCTCCCCAACATAAATCCCACAGTTCTCCAGGCAGGGCCATCTACCTTGGTCGGACTATTCTTCCTTTATGTTAGAGTTCTGCATAGAGGAGACACTGATGTTATTGAAAGAAGCCTTTTGTTCAGATAGAGCAGATCACACGGGAATCGGGAATCAAAACTCAGTCATTCATCATCTACGGCAAATCTAATGTATATATGTCAAGAAAGTACAGGTATTGGCCAGTGAAAGAAGATATTTATTATTCATTGGGTTCGACACTAGTAAATTCCATTTACAAGGCAAAATTTAAGACAAATTATGTTTTACATTACGCCTTGCACGTGAAAATACAAAAATGCACACTTTAGAAGAACTGACAACTAAATTATCGGTAAGATTTAAATTATGGGGAAATACATAATCGTAGGAGACCCATGCTTAAGCACAAAGGCTTGACCGGAGTGAGTGAGTAACTGCTCGTTCACCGCCTATAACATAAAAAAAGTATATTATAGAGTACAATTGTGCCTACTTAGCGACAAAAAGAATCTGATCAATTTTTTAGCGGGTCCTTTAAGACCGATTTCCTTTCAATGAAAACTTTGTATTTTGGCTTGTTTTTTTGCAAATTTGAGTTAAAGCATACATTGCAGTATGTAAACGTTGTCACACTTTTTTTAAATAGAAATCGCTGACGTGAAAACTTCGTGTAGTATTTCTGCCTTTGGTGTGTGGAAGAGCGCAGTGATATAAAGGGTCTACCAATAGGGATGACCTGGTTTTGACAGCTCATAGCGGCCATGTTTGATGATGGATCTTTGACGTCTCCTGACATTTGTGTTCAGTGAGGTTTGCCATTTTATCATGTCACGTTTCACTTTAAACCAACGCTTGGAAATTGTCCAAAATTATTACGCAAATTCGCATTCTCCTACCGCTACAGTAAGAGCGCTTCGCGCAAAAAACGGTCGTCATAGTGCTCCTTCTGTGCGCGCTATAAATCGCATGATAACAAAATTTGAAAGTGAATTCACTCTCCACGATACTGCTGTGCCTGTGAGACAAAGAAATGCCCGTAGTGAATAAGAGAGAGAAGAGAGAGAGAATATCGCAGCCGTTCAGGGCAGTGTTGATGCAAATTCAAATCGATCAGTTCAACGCCGTCCACAAGAGTTGGGGCTCTCTCCAATGACCACCTGGCGTATTTTGCAGTTGGATTTGGGCCTACACCCATGCAAAATTGTTTTGGCACAAGAATTGAAGCCATCCGACCATTGTATCCGTCGTGAATTTGCCGATTATGCACTGGAAATGATGGATCTTCTCAGATGAGGCCCATTTCTGGCTCAATGGATTTGTTAATAAACAAAATTGTCGCTATTGGAGTGAGTCAAATCCACGTGTGGTTCATGAATCACCATTGCATCAGCAAAAAAATAACAGTTTGGTGTGGTTTATGGTACGGTGGAATCATTGGTCCGTACTTCTTTGAAAGTGACGAAGGAAACCCTGTTACTGTGAATAGCGAGCGACCTTTATTTTCAACAAAACGGGGCACCACCTCACATTACTCGAATGAACATAGAATTATTTGGTGAGTCGTTAATTTCAAGAAATGGATCGATCAGTTGGCCACCAAGATCGTGTGATTTAACACCTTTAGACTATTTTCTTTGGGGTTACTTTAAATCTGAACTGTACAGCAATAATCCAGCTACAATTCGTGAACTAAAAACCAACATTCGACGAGCCATAGCCGACATACCGGCCGAAATGGTGCACCGCGTCATTGAAAATTGGCGTGAGCAACCGTCTGCAAAAAGAGCCGCGGCTGTCATTTGGCCGATATATTATTTAAAACATAAATTGCATAAAATTATCTATCAAATAAATCAATCGGATGCATTTTTCATAAAAAAATTGTGTGTTTTATTCAATTTTTAAACCAGGACGTTCTTATTGGTAGACCCCATATATGCTGTTAATTATGTATTAGTAAAAATTTAAAGTGGTTCATGAAAGACATACCTTGGAAAGGTCTTCGTAGAATAAAAATAGCATGTTAGGATGGTTTCTTTTCTCCCAGGCTTCTTTGACATGTTCAAAAATAGGACAAAATATACCTAAAATATATAAATCATTCATGTTAAAAGTTAATCAATAGTTGATGTTGATGTGTATACTTTTGTACTGTATTTCAGCTCTACTCTGTGGTTAAACACGTTAACAGATCCTCTTTGAAGAAAAAGTATCAAGTGATTACCATTATTGGAGTGTTATAAACATTTAAAATTTAAATTTGTGGTCATATTTACTTACACAAATCCTTGTAGAATAAATTCCAAAAACTCTTTAAAAGTTCCTTCAAACCTTGAAATAATCATAAATAATTTAGAATGGTGATAATACGAAACCACCACATCCCTTGGGTCTCGTGCAACGTAAACCATCTTTGCAGTGTCCAACAAACTAGGTTTCAACAAGGACATTGGTAAGTGTGTCTTTATGAAGCGAGGGGTCGACACTGGCATAGCTTCAAGTATTCTAGTTGCTGGCTGGCCAAATATTTCAAATACTGCTTCAATTTTTGGTAGGTCTATTGTTGTATCAGTAGGTTTAAAAAGTGCATCTAAATGGTTTATTTCGGCGAACATGAATAAACTGTAAGAAATTTAAAAAATATATATAAAAAGCTAGATCACAACTGTTCGCCAAAATCTGAACGCGGGAACAACTTTGAACTTTTGAACAATAAGGCTCGTGAAAAGCTTAAGCCATTTCTCACCAGATTCGGCGATTGTTCGCAGCTAGTGAACACAATGTGGCAGAGGCTATAAACCTCTGGATTACAGATCGGCTTTAAGAAAAAAATGCTTTCGATTCATTTAACTAACTTACTCTACGGGGTTAGACGACATAGTTAGACAGACAGGTGTACGTTATAAGTTTTTCTTTTTAATAAAATCGATAATTTTAATACAATTTACTTACTCCAAAAATGGATATCTTTCTGTAAGTGGAATGGCTGCGGCCGTTTTGTAATCCAAATCATTTGAAAGTAACCAGACCAATTCCTGAGTCCAAGTAGTGCCTAAAAGCAGAATACGTTCTAATATTCAGTCTGGTTACCATAGCACAGGTTCTACCTAGTTTGGGATCTGATCCGCTTTAAGTTTTGATTAAGGGAATTTCCACTTGTAAAAAAAGGGCTTTGAATAGTTTGGGATCAGACGACCGTATGTGAGAATTGTAAAGGTATTATTATCACTATACATAAATTCTGTCCTAACTTAAACAGAATTAAAAAATCTTACTGAGTCTTGATCTATTTCTATTGTAACACAATAGCCGTACATAATTAAAAAATTAAGTAGTTATCACGAAATATGTAATTGTGTAGTGTACAGTGGTAAATGGGTACTAACCAGATCGTTGATAGCTTGCGACGAAGACATCTGTGGGTCTCAATGGCATATTGTAGATATTGGCAGCATCTTTCTTGTAACTTTTAAGTAATACATAACCTTTAGGTCCTACTCGAGATAGCTCGGAAGGGTAATCGCTGACTAAAACATATAAACGCGTTTTTAAAAAAAAAGTAATTTATTATTAATGTAGTACAAATGTAGCGATTTTCACATTTTCATTAGTATTTTTTAAAGCTTTTTATCTCGCAATGTTTGTTAGTTAGTGAAAGTTTTTAAGCTAAATCAAATCGAGGGAGTAAAATATCAAATCCGTAGTATGTTATTAAACAATTTTGCCGTCAGGATTTCAAACTCTATTCATTCCTTACGGAAGGTCGCCACTTTATCCATATAGGAGGAGAATTATAGTTTTTGACAAAGTGACTTATTTGTTTGAGATTAAAAAAAACATAATTTGTTATACCGTTTCCTTATAAACAGTATTCTGCGTATGTTTCCCATTTGCTAATCTTAGAAGCAACACTTACCTAATTACCTGTGCACATCCTGCAGTATGTCTTTGGTTTTTTATTGATAAATCAACGAAAAGTTAACCCTAAATGTAGCATGCTTATGACACTGCCACATTACATTAGTGGCATGTGTATAGATAGACTCTGGCATTATAACTACTACATATTTAATCTTTTTATCAATTGTGTACATACTGAAAGAAAACAGTTCTGATATCATTTTTTTTCTTTCTTACAAACTCTCGCATTAGGAACATATCCTGTGTCTCGGAGAACTGTACAAACATACATGAAATGGGGACTAAGAACACCCAGACTCAGAACAACAATTTTTGGATGACACAAAATGTCGTCCCATATGGGAATCGGACCCACAACACTCAGCGTAGTAGTAAGCGGTGTGGCGACCGCTTTAAACACTACACCATCCGTGCAATCGAATTTCTCCTATCTCCACATAAATGCAACTTTTATTTGGGCAATTTATGCTTCCCAATCGCGTTACTACGTAATAAAATGAAGCCGTCAGAAACATTATTTGTCAATACGACTACATTAATCTCCCAAAAATATCAATATATTTTTGGGAGATTAATGTAGTCGTTCTAAAATAATTTTAGCTATTATATTAGGACAATAATATCTACAAATTAAATGTTTGTAGTAATGTAGTAGTAACAGCAACTCTGTATATTTTACCCCTGAGAGTAAAACTATAAACGTACTGTACAAACAATATATTGCAAAACAAAAACAAAAACATCAGAAATAATTTAGGCACAAAACATAACTTTAAATAATAACATGTCAAAATAATAGTTGATCATCATCATAATAATTACTAAAATTATTAAATTTAAATGGCATGAAATTAAAGCAGTTCTATACTGTCGATAATGATCTATATTCGACTGTCAATATTTTACAAATGGCAATGGAAGTTATCCACAAGAGATTAATATTAATTTTTCGGAAGGAGTATTTATAGAAGGTCGTCCGAAAAATATAAAAATATTTGTCTCATCTTGTGGTCCAGATTAAAAAAAAACAGTGTTTCAGGTAACTTATTAAATATCTTTTGGCCAGTACAGAACAAAAATTATTCAACAGAGCTGTTTTACCATGTGGAATTTCGAGTTCTAGCTTGTTTTTGTCCCTTAATTTCCTGTAATGGCTTTTAAAAGCTATTTTGTATAGAGACATGTTTGTCTTCACGAATACAGAGACTTCATAAATGTATAAAGATGGTAGGGTAAGTATTTTTATGCTTTTAAAACAAAGGTTGACAGCTGTCTTTACTGTACAGGCTACACATAGCCCTGACACACCGTTTTTGAACCCTAAAGACGAATTCCCTATACACTGAGTTACCACAAACTCAAACTCAAACTCAAACTTTCTTTATTTCATAAAATTTTCAAAATTGTTTGAAGTCGTCTTCCATGTAGACTCTAAAGTCATAGATCAACACACACAAAAGCAACAATCTCTGTTTTGTCAAATAGTAACCAAATAAATTTAACAAAATCAAACCATACAAAATCTATGATATGCCTGTGCCGATCTACAACCGCCCGTTTCCAAGGGGTTGAGCCTTATGAGAAGAAAGAAAAAAGGG